TGGGGTTTGGAATACTATATGACTAAATCTAATTATGAACAGCTTTGTAAGGGTCTATCTCACAGATTCAATAAAAAAAAGTCACCATCACTGTCCTCCCGTTGTTCATCGATTTGCTCGAGTGGGCCCAGTAACATTGTGAGACTTGTTACTGTGTTTGGCATATTGAAAACGTCATGGGTAGCTTGCAGGCCAGTCTTAAGGTAGCCAATAAAAAAGTAAAACAATAAAACAAGAAGTTAAAAAGTTTATTAAAAACAAATAAAAGCGGAAGAGAAGGACAACATGGAGGGCGGGATCCACAGATCACGAAGGAAAAAAAAAAAACAGGTTCCTAAAAGAGCCGAGATCATCGGGAAGTCCCAGATGGGGTAGGTACCGCATCTCGCCTCCCCCAGATGGAACCCCGGTGATCAGAAGCCTCTACAAGCACAGCTCGAGTAAGTGGGAACTAGGACTTTTCCTCAAAACCGCGCTGCCGCTTATGCGGCCGCGCAACGTCTCTCTATACGCAAAGTGATCCATGGGAAGTAAACCACCCAATGTTTCTCTCTGAAAATCATAGTTAACTTTGGAGCACGGCCACAGCCCCAGAAACACAAGGACTTAATGCATAACCCAGCAGCTTGGAGCAGAAAAGTGAACGGACTATGCGTTAATCTAGGCCATCATGTCTGCCCGGAAGGGAAAGGGTGTTGCCCCATTTGCCCTCTCCCCTCTGTAAAGAAAGATGGCGGCCACATGGGAGCCTTGTGGACAGCAGGTATGAGCCGGGGAAGTGGGGGCGACTAAAACCTCATGGGAAAGGGGGTGTTTCGGTCCGCCCTTCACGCCCTACCGAGGTCACCAGTTGCCCCCCGCGAGCGGCTCTCCAGCACGGCCACAGCCCCAGAAGCACAAGGACTTAATGCAGAACCCAGCAGCTTGGAGCAGAAAAGTGAAAGGACTATGCGTTAATCCAGGCCATCAGGTCTGCCCGTAGGGGAAAGGGTGTTGGTCCCTTCTGCCCTCCTCCCTCTGGAAAGAAAGATGGTGGCCACATGGGAGCCTTGTGGACAGCAGGTATGAGCCGGGGGTGTGGGGGTGACTAAAACCTCATGGGAAGGGGGGTGTTCCGCTCCGTCCTTCACGCCCTACCGAGGTCACCAGTTGCCCCCCGCGAGTGGCTCTCCAGCACGGCCACAGCCCCAGAAGCACAAGGACTTAATGCAGAACCTGGCAGCTTGGAGCAGAAAAGTGAACGGACTGTGCGTTAATCCAGGCCATTAGGTCTGTCTGGAGGGGAAAGGGTGTTGCCCCAGTCGCCTTCTCCTCTCTGGAAAGAAAGATGGCGGCCGCATGGGAGCCTTGTGGACAGCAGGTATGAGCCGGGGGAGTGGGGGCGACTAAAACCTCATGGGAAGGGGGCGTTTCGGTCTGCCCTTCACGCCCTACCAAGGCCACCAGTTGCCCCCCACTAGCGGCTCTCCAGCATGGCCACGACTCCAGAGCACAGAAACCAATTTCTTAACTATCTGACTTTCAGTAGAAATACTTCCAGGGTCAATAAGTAAAATAGCAGAAATCCAAAACCAACATTTAATTCTTGAACCCAGCTGTAGAAAGCAAATCACTTCACAATGCTTTTTCAACATGTCTGATTTGGGGGGGGGTAAACTCTAAATAATAGTGGTGAATCTTTTATTGAAACAATGAATCTAATCAAAGCAGATAGAGTTAAGTAGAATTCATCTGCCCCACAGGGACTGGGAGGGGTGGGGGGTGGGGTTTTATTGGGGTTCTTCATGGTAAAAAGTAAGTATTGGTAAAGGGAAATGTGTTTGATATTTGCATGACTGAGACCTAAACCTGAAAGCTTTGTAACCTTTCCCACGGTGATTCAATAAAGAAATAAATTTAAAAAAAAAAACAAGAAAAACAAATAAAAGCAAAGCAAGCTGAAGGGAAAAAGAAATTTTTTAAAAATTATGAAATTAAAACTCAGAAAAATAATAGAAAAAAATATTTTGCTTTTAAGTTGTTGGTAACTGGCCAGGGAAAAGAAGGAAACATCCTTGAACTGGCCAGAAAAAAAGAAGGAAAAGAAACAAATTCTCAACATCAAAACCTATGACATATTGGGAACTGGGGATGTGGCTCAATGGCAGAGGCAGGCTTTGATCCCCAGCATGGCAAGGCTCCTAAACTGCACAGGATGTGGCCCCCAAGACAGCAATGATAATAATGAGGGGAAATAACAATGGCACAGAGAACACTACTGTATAGCCTACAAACATTAAAAGGTTAAAAATATGAGTATGAACCGTTTTAGCATAGATATTCAAATTTATGGATGTGTTATGAAAATTTTTGAAGGGCATAGTTGGCAAAGATCACTCGAGAATAAATAAATGTCTTTAATATGCTGTTACAGATATATACAACTTAAAAAAATTTCAAAAAAGGAAACTCTAGAACCAAGTGGCTTTACTGGAAAATTCTGGCAAATATTTAAGGAATAAATTTCATTAATTTAATGTAAATGTCTCCTTAAAACAGTAGGAAACACTTTCCAAATCCATTTATGAAATCAACATTACCCTGATACCAACGCTTGGCAAAGTTTCAAAAGTTTCACAAGAAAATAAACATTAATGTCTCTTGGAATCAAGCAAAAATTTTCAATGAACAATTACTAACCAAGCACATAAATAAATCAAAATAATAGAACATCATAACCAAGTTGGATCTACCTAAGAATGCAAAGTTGGTTCCACATTTTCAAATTAATCCATGTAGGAGAACTCTAACTGAATATAGTATGACAATCCACAAAGAAAACACCAAAGAATTTCAGAAGCCTCCTAGAACTATTAAGTGAGAAAAATCCAGATAACAAATGAGAACACAAAAACCTACTCAATGTAAGTAATTAGGAAATGCAAATTAAAACAGCAAGAAATATGTGCTGGAAAGATAGTAGGCTGATAAGGTGCTTGCTTTATGTGTGATCAATCTGGTACAACCTCTGCACCACTTATGGCTCCCCCTAGTACACTAGGAGTAATATCTGATCACAGAGTGAGGAGTAAGCCCTAAGCACCTCTGGGGGTGCCAGCCCCTAAGATAGAAAGAGAGAAAGGAAGACAGAAAGAGATAAAGAGAAAGAAAGAAAGAGAGAAAGAAAGGGAAAGAAAGAAAGAAAGAAAGAAAGAAAGAAAGAAAGAAAGAAAGAAAAGAAGGAAGAAAGAGGAAAACACTGAAATAAACATTATCCACCATGTCAAATAACTAGGAGTAAAAGAATTAACATATGAATTGTGCCAAGGATGGAGAGTAATTGGAATATTGTTAGCAGAAAGGTAAAATGATAAAATCACTTTGGAAAACATTTGGCCATGGCTTTTCAATAACATACACTTATCACATGATCCAGCAGTACTTTTCCCAAGTATATTACCAAGGGAAATTAAAACGAAGGTCACAGAAAAACCATGACTTCAAAAGTTAAAAGACTTCACACTATGTTTGTGGTGGCTTGACTTATAATTAACAAAAAAATAATTGAAAACTGTTCAAATGGTATTCAGCAGGGGCTGAATAAATAAGCTATGGTATATCCACACAATGGAATACTACTGAATAATAAAAAAAAAGAAGAAACGAACCACTGATAAAATTAGCAGTATGGATGAATAATAAATGCACTTATTAAGAGAAAGAAGTTTAGCCTCAAGAGCCTACATAAGGTATTATTTCATTTCTGTGGTGATATTTTAAAAAGGAAAAGCTAGACAGAACGCTTTGATTATCATTTGCAAACAATTTCTGGGAAGTGCTGGGTCCATCTCAAGTCCCATTCTGGACATCACCTATACGGTACCTTTTATTTTTCTCCTTGTTTAGCTAAATTCAGCTGTGTTCAGAGCTTACTCCTGGCTTTACCCATATGGATTTGGGGACCATTTGTTATGTGGTGCTGGATATTGAACCTGGGTTGACTTTGAGTTTGCTAACACCCAGCAAAAGCTCCCAGGGCATTGTACTATTTCTCTCGCCACATATGTTACCTTTTCCAAATCCCCACTATTCATTCCCTCTCACTATTGACTTCCTCAGCTCCTTCCTGAATCCTTTCCAGGTGTGTATGTAGTGACAAACTGCTGGTAGGGGATCCTTCAGTGTCAAAGGCGGTGTGTCCTTTTCCTCTCCTCAGGCACTGCAAGCACCCAACTGCGTGCAGAGCCCATGGAAAGGGATAGATGACAACATTGAGGTGGTCAGCTTAGGAGAAATTACCTTGTTTCATGTTTTCCCCATGGGCACACTTTCACATCACTGTGCTCTGACCTTGAGTGACTAGGAGTTGATGAGAACAATGGCAAAGAACTGAAAGTGGGCTGAGCCTGCATCTGCCAGGTCAGAAGTTCTGGGCTATAATGAATGTCAAGGCTGAGGTAGCCTGCCCTCTCCCACCCTACACTCGGGAGGAAAATCAGGGTTGTCCATTTCAACTGTCCTACCTCTCCTTTCTTCTTTTTCTTTCTCATATCTCATTGTTGATCTGCCCATCCATCCATCCATCCATCCACCCATCCATCCACTCATTTGTCCATCCATGTACCCATCTGTCTCTCCATCCACCCATCCACCCACCCATCTGCCCATCTATCTACCCATCTGTTTGTCCATCCATCCATCCATCCATCCATCCATCCAATCCATCCATCCATCCATCCATCCATCCATCCATCCATCCATTGTCCATCCATTGTCCATCCATCCATCCATCCATCCATCCATCCATCCATCCATCCATTGCATACTACAGCACTGATTAGGTCACAGATGCAGTCCTGCAGGTGTCCACAGTATAGCAGGAAGTACAGGGATATATAATCGTTTATATAGTTGCTACGAGGTGCGACATGGACCAGCTATGGAATGCCAGTTGGCGGATGGGGGGGCGTTGCTCGCGCCGGCGTGCTCTGGAGCCTGCGTGTTCCTCCATCCGCGCGAGTTTGCAACCCTGCAGGCCCCCTCCTCGGCCCGGGAGCCGCGCAGGGCCCGAGCCCGCAGTCAAACAGCTTTTCCGAGGCCGCAGAGCCGTGCACCCGGCCCTTTCCCGCAGCCTGGCCGCGGCCGGCGGGTCGGGGAGGGCAGCTGGGGCGCGGCGGCCCCGCCCAGGCCCGGCGAAGCTGGGGCCGGTTCCCATAGGGATCGCGAGCGGGTGGCGGGCGAGAGTCGGCGAGGCCGGAGCGGGCAGAGGCCTGGGCCCGCGGCGCCGTGAGTCCCGGGCGGGGAAAGAGCGCGGGCTGGGCCCCTGGGCATAGCCGGGCCTGCACGTGGCGCGGGGACGAGCCCCCGGGGCAGTGGGAGGCGGTGGCGTCTGGACGCTGCCCCGCAAGTGCTCGGGGCCGGGGCGGCGTGGGCGCTGGAGGCTGCGAGGTGCTGCCGGTGCGCCCGAGATCACTCAAGAGCGGCGCACCCCACCGGGGTCGGGGGCCGGAGTGCGCCCCTCCAGGGTCCTGAGCTCCCCTCCCGCCTGCGGCGTGCCGCCCCCCGCGGGCAGCCGGGTGGTGCGTTCTTGCTCACGGAAATGAGACCCGAAATTAGAACCGGGGAAGCCCTGAGCCTCTCCCGTCCTCCGGCCGGCTCAGGTGTCTTGGATAGGATGAACCTAACACTAAAATGATGGATTGTCTTACCACCTGCTCATTTTAGGATGACTGGTTACACGTTAACCTGCAGGCTATTGAAATGGGGTGCCCCGAGGCTGCCAACTCTAGGCTGTCACCCTGGGTGGCCTAATAGCCTGTGCAGAGGGGCGAGGCTCTGCCCTTGGGTCCATTCCTAATTCTCCAACCAGCCCCTTCTGTTCTAGACTTTGGTGAAGACCCTGCGGTGGAGGGCGCCTCTCCTGCCGGCTAGTCTAGTCGCATCCGGTGTTTCCAGGCCAGTTTTTCAAATTATGTGAAGATCCCTTCTGAGAAGATTTATTCCTCTGGCATGGAGAAGTATGAAAAAATTGGGAAAATTGGCGAAGGCTCTTATGGAGTTGTTTTCAAATGTAGAAACAGGGACACGGGCCAGATTGTGGCCATCAAGCGGTTTCTGGAATCAGAAGAGGACCCTGTCATAAAGAAAATTGCCCTGCGAGAAATTCGCATGCTCAAGGTAATTGCTTCTTTAAAGTGAATTTCCCATTTAAGGAGTTTTCTTGTGTTAAATGAATACCCTGAGATGTGGTTACATGTTTCCCTCACTGACTTTGGGCCTCAGAGATACACACTGGCATGTCTGGGCACCGTTATTGAATGAGTTAGAAACTGTAGAGAAAGGCATTTGTCTGTAGCACTGTCCCCCTTCCAGTAGCTTCCTTTGGCTCCTTAAGAACCATCAACCATGGTAGCTGAGTAACTTAATACAACCCAGTTTGCTAGCCTTCAGTATCTTTACGTTTGCAGGATGTCTTCTTTGATGTTCTCAGTTCATTAAGAGAATCATTCACGTGACTTCAGTTGCTGGGAAGCTGGGTTTCGCTACACCTTATCTTCACATCTGCAGCTGATCATTATAATGTCCTGTCCTGGAGAAGGACTCTGAGTGAGAAGTGGCAGGTTTGGGATAGAGTTAAAATGGATAGATAATAGAAAACCCTTCTCACGTAAGATTTTTGTTTTGTTTTGGGGCTCAGGTATTGTTTCTGGCTTTGTGCTCCGGGATCACTCCTGGTAGAGCTCGGGAACCATATAGGATGCTGGTAATTGAATCTGGTTGGCCATGTGCAAGGCAAGTGCCTAACCCACTGTACTATTGTTCCAGTCCCAGATTTAGGATGATTTTTATGTGCATATCATTCTCTATTCTGAGAAGACACTTCCAAAGCACCCCTGAAGTGTTTCCCTGGGACCTGTCTGCACCCTCTATCTGGACAACTCTGCCCTTTAATACCCAGGGACAGGCTCGCTCCATTTTTCTTGGACTGATGGGTGCTTTTCACCTTCTCAAGTTTTTTCTAAAGAAGGTGATTCCTGAGGTCAGAAACATAGCACAGAAGTCAAAGCATTTGCTTTGCACATAGCTGAACCCAGTTTGATCCCCAGCACACACAGGAATAAAATCTGAGCATTGCCATTAATGTTCCAAATGCTCTACCTTCACAAAAAAATGATCATTTTATGTCAAAGTGTTTCTATACAGAAAGAGAAAAAGTAGAGGGAGAGAGAGAGACAGAGAGAGGATGAAAGTGTTGTTTCTAGTGAAGCTGTTCTTTTTCTCGATGTGAAGATTAATCTGTGATCACCTTTCAGGCTTACAGGTGTAGTTCAGCTCTTAAAAAAGGTAGATATTACCCTTAAATCAAGAAGTCATGTTCTCTCTTGGATAAAAATAGTGATGTACTCATTTGATCGAACTGTGTACATAGGCACCTGATTTCAAAGCTATACCTACTCAAATCCTGTGTACAAGTATAGAAGGATTTGATCTTTTTACTTATTTTTTTAAAATTTTTATTAGTGAAACACCATGAGGTACAGTTGTATTTGATCTTTTTAAGGTGATGGAACTAGATCATCAATAGTTTGGCCTTTCAAGGCCTAACTTTTCAGAATTCTATAATAGTACTGCCACATAATGGATATTTTATAAGGATTTGTTGAATACATGGATTAAGGCTATGTTAATGAAGTCCTGTTTTCTCTGCTTACTCAATAAATACTTATAGAACCCCAGATATGCCGAATTCAATATTTTTGAAATTGTACAGCTTGTCTTCAGGTGCTTAGCTCTTGGGAGGGAACTAAAGTGAATTTCTGCTCCGTGTTCACACCTGGATAACTGTGTCATTCACCTTGAGGTTCTCTTCTTGGCAAGACCCTTAAAATGCTTGTTGAATCATGAAAACAAAGCATTTGGAGGCACATCTGAGCTAGACTTTGAACTCTTTGAGAAGTCCTGGAATGAGTGCAAGGACATTCAGGGAGAGCATCTGTACTAGGAACAGGGACCTAAGTGGAAATATACTGAGGGACACGGTAACCTCTAGTCTTGACCAAAGGTCCTTCTTAGTGATAACAGATCAATGAAAGGGAATGGCAACTGGGCTCCACACAGAGGGAGGCTTAGAACTTCCTGCATTGAGGAATGGTGAGCACCCAGCTGCCGTTGGCAGAAGATGTTCTTTGGGGTTTAAAGCCCACATAATATGTTCCCTGAGAACAGCAACCCAGTGAGGTCCAGTCAAGGGCATTGACTGCCCCTGAGCTGCAGCTGTAGGTGGGAGACTAAACTCTGAGTGAAACACAGTTGGTTCTGTGGAATGGGGGACAAGTGCAACTCTGGGTATTTGGTGGGTTTCAGCTCTTGGGTGTTCCTTGCATACTTACCACAGAAGTAGGAATTTTCTGAATCCCTGCTAAGATCAGAAATGAAGAACTGGGAGAACTGAGGCTGAAGGTATAAGGGCTAAAGCTGGTGAATGGACAGGAGCTCCCTAACTTCTCCTATGAGGGTAAACAAAGTAAAAAAGGTATGGAAGGCCTGGATGAAGAGGCCAGAAAGTAGTACCAGGGCTGGGGTCTGCACCTGCGTGTTTATGCCACCAGCCTCATTCACAAAAGCAGCTCCTATTCATTGCTTTTGGAGTTTTTGTAGAAGTTTAACATTTTCTTGCTACACAGATACCACTAGAGAAGTCAATTTTCCAGTGGTCAATAGTAATTTTCATGGAAGCACATTGTTAGTGCTTCCCATTCTTGGTTTGAAAGCCAAGTTGTATGATATGTGAAGATAAAACTATCCATTGGTAAATGCTTTTGAGGATAACGATTAATGACAAGAAGTCTATTTGATGGTGGTTGGAAGGAATCACTCTGGATGGGAGATGTGTGCTGAAAGTGGGTAAAGGACCAAATATGATGGCCTCTCAGTATCTGTACCATAATGCTCAAAAGGTAAGAGAGATAGAAAGAGAGAGAGACAGACAGAGAAAGAGACAGAGAGAAACAGATACACACACACACACACAGAGAGAGAGAGAGAGAGAGAGAGAGAGAGAGAGAGAGAGAGAAGAAAAGCGCCTGTCATAGAGTCAGGCTAGAAGGGGGGATGGCAGGAGGGATATGAAGGATATTGGTGGTGTGAAATGCACACTGGGTGGTGGGATGGGTATTGGAACATTGTATGACTGAAACCTGATCACAAAAGCTTTGTAACTGTATCTCACAGTGATTCAGTAAAAAAATAAATTTTAAAAAAGCAAGCTCATTTGAGGGGAACAGGATGTGACTCAGTTGGTTGAGCACATGCCGGGCATGTAGGAGGCCCCAGGTTCCAACCATGCCCGAACCTGATGTGATCCCACAGCACCTCCTGGTGTGGCTCCAACCCTAAGCACTGCCAAATATCCCCTCTGCCCTCTCCCCGCCCCTGCAATGCAACAACAGCAATTATAAAAAAAAAACCTATTTTGCTAATATTTTTAGCAAAGAGTTTTTCTGAAAATGAAAATGCTTTTCAAACAGCATTTTTGGTGCCATTGGAGGTGGCACATTTAGAATCTGTACTAATAAACTGTTTCCAGACTAAATATAATTCACTGATGACCTACTGACATCAACCTCTTAATATTTTCACTTTGAATTATATATATTCAATATATAATGAAGTTATGTTTAAAAAGAAAAACAGAAACAAACCATATTCCAATTCAATTCCATCAGCTCATATTCCACCTAGGGACCAAATTAAGTATGATTTTATGACAGTAATGAAATTATACTGTATTGCCTGAGCTCAGAGCAATTATTTCTCAACACACATTCTACTGTGAAAAAAACCAAAACAACAGAAGGAAATGTGAAGGATGATTCATGAAGCTCTAGCTCTTCATGGAAAGGCGTGCCAGACAGAAGGAATCATAAGAACAAAGCCCCCAAAGCAGGCATGTTCTGGAGTGTCCTAAAGGAATAAAGAGATCATTGTATGTGAAGAAGAGAGAGTGAAATGAAATTATAGAAGAAAGGAGGTCAGATACTAAGGCCTCTTCAGCCACAGTTAACATGATGGAATTGACTTTGAATGAGATCAGAGCCCTTGGGATGTTGAGCAGGATTTTGATGCTTTGCCATGACTTACATTCTTGGGGCAACTGGTTACTTATTGGGGGTGGGGGTGCACACTTGGTGATGCTCAGGGATTACTCCTGGCTTTGAGCTCAGGAATTACTTCTGGAGGTGCTTGAGGGATGGTATGACTAGCTACTTGCTGTACTATCTCTCTGGCCTGGTTGCTTAAGTTCTGTGAGCAGAAACACCAGGTAGAAGGTTGTCAGAGTGATCCAAGTGTAAGATGGTCAGATTTGGCTAGTGGTGGTGGTGCAGGTGGTCAAATTCTAGACTGATTCTGGAGAAAGAGCAAAAAGGAAGCAGATGGTTGGGGCAGGAATTCAGAGAAACTTAAAAAGTTCTTGGCCCAAGTACCTGGAAGTACAGAGAAATCATTGATTATAGAGAGGGACCTGGGCCCAACATTGAGCAGAGAAAATCAAAAATTCTGGTTTAGATATGTTGAGAAGTGAATCTAAGGAGACCAGAGGATGAAAATGGTAAAATTGTTGGAAGAGAAAGTAAAGAATTCCAGCCGACAATTGTAGAAAGAGCAGCTGCTCCCAGAGGAGCTGGAGGTGAAGAACTGGACAGTGCCCCCACGAGGATGGAAGATGGTACTGCAGGCCCAAGAATAGACGAAACCTACATAAGGGCTTTCACCATGCTGAGACCTTGTCTGTGACAACTGTCTCTCCAGAAGACATGTAAAATGAGACAACCAAGGAGAAATAATCACATATTGTAATTTAGTGACTTGAGGCTTGGGTAAAATGTCATATGGGTTCCCAAGTGTGTATAGAACAGCCTGGCATCAGCCTAAACAACTCAAAATTATTGGCCCATTTCACAGATAGTTGATAATTTCCCATGGTTTATAGGCTGACATGAAGACCCAGCGCTCTTTCCCCCATGTCTACATTCTTATGTGTACATGTCACTTTGGAACCATCCATTATGCCAGACACCACAGTGAGGACTCCCAGGGGCTGGCCCTCAGGATTCACCTTGCTCTAGCTGCTAGACTCATATTTACATGGAAACTTGGATGCAGATTCTCTTGGAAGT